ACGTGTATTCGTAACAGCCCCAAACTGTAATAACCTGATAGCCCATAAACAGGCTAATGGATAAATAAACCGTGCTAGGTCTCTACCTGGAATACTGATTGGCAATAAGAAGAAAGAACTTCTCTTAGCATTATGTCCTCCAAGTTCTTTCATGTTTTTTGCAAATGACAGGATTTCCTTCTTTTCTAAGTCTGAATAGTATTCCATTATGTTGTACACCATACTTTCTTGATCTATCCATTCGTCCATTGATAGATGTTTAGGTTGCTTCTAAGTCTCGGCTGTACAAAAATGAGGAATCTAAACTAGCCAAACTCATAGAAGCAGAGAGGAGAATGGGGGTCTCCAGGGGCAGGGGGAAGAGGGAAATGGGGGAGGTAGCAGTCAGAGGGTACAAGTTTCAGGTATTAAAGATGAATGAGTCCTAGAGATCTGCTGTGTAGAGCCTACAGTTCAGTAATGCTGCGTTATACACTTAAAATTTTTCCAAGAGGGTAGAGCTTATGTTGAATGTTGTTAATCACAAAAATAAAAGAAAAGAAAAAGAGAATAAAATAAAATAAAAAGGAGGATGGGAGGAAACTTCTAGAAGGGATAGATATGTCTATGGTATAAATTGTGATGATAGTTTCAAAGATATATACACTTAGCTCCGAACTCATCCAGCTGTATACATCAAACACGCACAGCTTTTTGGATGTCAATCATACCTCAACAAAGTGGTTTAAAAAATAGCATAGAACTATGGTTACACAAAGCAACATGGATTAATCTCAAGATAATTATGTTACGTGAAAGAAGCCATACAAAAAGGAATACACACTACTAGGTGATGTACGATACAAAATTCTGAGAAATGCAAGCTCAGTCTGAAAGCAGCAGAGCGCTGCCTGGGGCGTGGGGAAGGGCAGCAAGCAGGGGCATGAGAGGGAGCTTACAAAGGGGCTCGCAAAACCCAGGGGCTGATTTTATCATCTTGATTGCAGCAATGCTTCCACTTACACACACATTTGTCAAAACGTGTGAAATGTCACTGCACTTCAAATATGTGTGGTTGATCGTGTGTCTCAAAGGTGTTTTGTTTTTTTTTTATTTTTAAGAGGCATTGGTAATCCGAGGAGGAGGGGTTTCTGCAGGAGACTGCAGTATGAACAGGGCATAAGGAGGCAGCGACTGAGTGTAGACAAGTCTCCCAGGAAGCTTAGCTGTGGGACCGGGGGAGGGAGTGGAGGAGCAAGAGCAAGGAAGCGGGAGACCCACACAGACAGACACAACGTTGAGTTATCTGTGTTTTGAGATGAGAGAAAGAGACAGTGAGATTGAAAATGTAGGGGGTCTGGAGCCAACTGATGAAATGGTGGGATGGAAAAGCCAAGAAAAAGATGACTTGAATAAGGGGAAGCACACACGTAGGTATGATCTGTGGCTGGATTGGGAGATGCAGGAATGGACTGAGGAGTTGGTAGAGTTTAAGTCGGCCATTCTCTCTCTTTTTAGGGATGGATGAGGTATGAGAGGAATAGGATGCTTAAGAAGAATGAATGGTGGAGCTTTGGAAAAGCCAGTGTGGTTGGAGCTACAGGTTCAACTTAGGAGCATTCGTCTATAACAAGATGGTGGGCAAGAAAATCGCTTTGCGCAAGCAAAAGAGCTGTCGTTTACATGGGTGCACAGCGGGTTACTCCCCCCCAGTCCTCTCCTGCTCTCTTTAGCCCTAGGAAATTTCACTCTTTCTGTTGTTCCCACCCTTTTTCTCTCAACACACGACAGATTTTCAACACTCTTTTAAGTTTGTTGGGAAATATTTCTAACATACACATGAAAATACAGAATAATTTAATAAACTTCAATGTTCTACCATCCAGCTTTCTCAAGTCTCTACACCATACCATATTTACCTTGGTTAACCCAATCCTTGAACCAAACACAGGCTAACGGGACGAGAGAGGTTTCATCACCAGCAAACATCAACATGCTCACTTGCTTTTGGCGTTTCATTTATTTCATAGACAACGCCCAGAGCACGTCTGAGAACTTGAAGTGTTACCGTGGGAGGCACAAATCAAGTGTGGCCAGAAATGGCCGCAGGCAAGCTCATGAGGTAGTGCCCTGAAGTCAAGGGTTAGTGTGTTAAAGCCATGCAAATTAGGCCAAATCCAAGGTCCCAGGTTTGGAAAAAATACTCTGGGATAGTATGAATTTTTAATATAATTGGTAATTCCGATTCACAGCGCAGACACGATTTTCTTCAGTGTTCTAACACTCATTGCCACTTTTGCGTTGGTAAAATATGAGGATGGTTAACTGAAAACTACTTTTCCCCACACCACGTATTTAAAGACAAGGGCTTTATTCTTTAAGGGGCAACAAATCATCCGTTAAATAAAAAAAAAAAACGTAACATGGACAGTACCTGCCAAAACAGACTGTGCGCATCCCCTTGCAGGAGTTCAACCGTGTCTCCTGCCTGGATGTGCAGCGGGGGCCCTTCGTGAAGAGCAGGGGGTGGCGTTCCAGTATAGTTCCTAATGACCTGCATCTTTGGTAAACCTGAAAATAAGCAACACAACTTTGAGAACTGAGAAAATAATAAAGTGTGAAGTCCAAATGTACTTAAAAAAAAAAACATAGCCATGATGAACATTAAAAAGTTTTAATAGCACCAAGTCTAAGTAAACATCTGAAGTAACTACAATGGAACGCTTTTCAGCTTTCTCCTTGTTTGAAGTGGTAACGGAGTAAGACACATATTTATCCCCGATCCCTTACATACTCTTCCTCTCCCGCACCATCAATCTCTCCATAGTTGAAAAATATTTCTCTTTCAGCTGATGCCTGCTTCATAAAAAAGAATACATCATGTACAGTTTAATGGAAAAGAATCAGTTTTTTCATCGACTCTACCCTGTCTGCCTGTTACTTTCCTCTGGGGCGTAGGCTGATCTCATCACTGAGGAGGCTCACCCTTCCCGTGCAGGGACCCCACCGTTCAGTGTCAGGCTCATATCTTCAGATTAGCCTTGTAATTCAAAAGCAAAAAGGTGATGGGTGTGCCACCGCAACACTTCAGAGATCTGTGTGGGGAAATTCTTCAGGCTCAAATTTAGGCTTGCAGAGCAGACCCAACAAAGGGAGCATGTGGAAGGAAGCCTGCAGCGTCGCCCTGCTGGCAATACAGAGCCGGGCCTTTCTGCTGTATTTCGCAGTGAAGGCCTGGGGTCCCTGTTTCACCTTTGAGAACAATGCCCCGCCTGCACGCGGGACTGACCGCATCAGTACCGCTCGCAAACGGACACCCTCAGGGCCGCCTTCTCACTTGGAGGTCAAAATGCTCCCTCCCACGAGAGACGCCGCTCGTGAACATGATACGTGTTGCACATTTACAGACTTAAGCCCTTGCTTATTCCACTTCAAGACTTTTTGCTCTAATCTAGACTGAACCCAGTGAAGCTGTAACCGGCCGGAAATGCTGCCCTAAATAGGGGAGGAGGAATGGCGGTCATTCAGGTCTCCACGTCCAAGTCACCTGGAAAGGACCTCGATATCTACAGGAGATGCTCCAGCAAACAGCTGCATAACGTCCCCAAAATCCTTTCTCAGTGAGCCCCCGAGAGGGCAGAAAACAAGCGTGGCCTCTACCCAGCAAGGCTGCCGCCTTAAGTCAGCACTTCATCAACCCGGTCAATCAGGAGGCAGAAGGGCTGAAAAGCCCCGGGCCCTTCACCCCAATTCAAGTGCGGGAATCGCCGAGGCCTGTTACGGCGTTGCTGCATCTCCTCTTGGCTTCAGTTCTTGTGCTGCGGGACCCCGGAGCGATGGCTTTGATCCACATCTGCCAGGGAGCGCTTGCACACACAGTGGACTCTGTCTCCTCCAAAAACAACACTCTTCTCACTCAAGTGCTTGTCACTCTCTTACTTAACACACCGCAGGCGCCTTGAGTAGAGAAAGCTTCTTTTACACTTTCTATTGAGATGCTGTTAATTTAAAAAGAAACCTCAGTCTCCTGTGCACACGACAACTGACGGAGAAGCTCACCATACGGACGAGGACACGCTCTACGGTGGAATTTCAGAAGTGAGCCCGGCTGGCACGGCAGCTACTCCAGCGAGGCAGTCAGCCCTGGTTTTACTCAGCACTTCTAGAGCCAGGAAAGCATTCTGCTCAGCAGGCTCCCTTGATAATTTTGTTTTGACGTCAATTTTTAAATAAAGGCTGAAGTCAGGAAAGAGGAGTTTGTGAACCTGAAAGAGCTGATGTGGCCTTAACTCCTGGGGCCAGGTGAGTGCTCAGCAGGGCCCCGGCCTCACTGCACTCGGGTCTGCAGCCGAGACCCACAGGGACAGACAGAAGCAGCGCCACGTGACAGACGGCAGGAACAGGAGCTCTCTGGCTGCTGACACGCCCGAGTTAGTCACTCCCCGGAGGAAGTGACTGGAAAATGCATAGAGCATCGGGAAGAAAAATTAAGCTGGATGACATTTCACCCCCAAATACAGATTAGGGACTAAAATACAGAACGGCCCAGGCCACGAAGGCTGAGAGGTGTCGGGGCGGAGCAATGCTGCCTTATCTTTTTCGACTGACTAGGATGCCCGTAACACGGGACCTAGTAAAATTGTAATATTTAAAACTAAAAACGGTACCTATGTTAATCTCCTTTGGTCAAGAAATGAGACCTACATGGCAGTCTTAGGATTTACTCTGGACTAAGCAGTCTTCGGACTGGTGGACTCGGTTCTCATAGCCTTGTTGATTCCTGATTTTTTTCATTGACTCTGTATTTCCTGCTGTGACTTTCTTCTTGGTGACGAGCTTCACTTGGGAAGCTGACCTGGAAGCACACTCGCCTAGGTGTGTTGCTGATCTCATTCCTAAAACAAAACCTCTCTGACCCTTGCCACGAATTATGGTTGAGCCCAGGTAATGGTCAAAAGAGCAATGCTACTAATCTGAATTCAGTCAAAAATGATTTGTAAAATACAACGTTTATTTGACCCGTACACCTTTTTGTGGAAAGAGCTGTGAGTTTATAACAGAATGGAATTTCTATTTTTTTGTCATTTGTTAGGATCACCTTTGGCTGTTACTTCTGATTGGTCAGCATGTCCCATTTCAGGATGATCCGTCCTCAAGACTGAGGGCTACAGAGGCCAGAGGACAAGAGGGATGAAGCAACGGCTCAGCGACACGATGAATTCTGACGCTGTGCCCCGTGCCTCTGACGCTTGCATATGGTAGGAGCTCTACAGTGCTGGTGGGATGAATGGTTGCTTTCCAAAAGGCCCCTTTATAGTCCTTTCTTTTATTAAAAAAAAAGACACAATAACACTGCTAAGAAGGCAAACACAATCACATTAACTGATAGATAAAAATGCAATGAAAATAAGGAGAGAGGCAGTGGGTTAATCTTCAGCCCTCAGGATCACTGCTGACACAATCTACTGCCACAGCAGGGGTGCACACCTCACAAATGAGACTCAGAATGGAGCAGAAATTAGATTTACAGACGCTCTTATTTCGAATAGCCATTTAGCGTTGATTTAGTATAAGTTTTCTTCTCCCCTTACAGGATATCCCTTGACAGGTTCTAACCTCTGTTTAAAAATGTGCAGGACAGGACACTCCCTACATGTCCCTATGACAACTCAGTCCTTGTTGCTTACTCAAAACTGAAGCTTACTCAAAACTCTCTCTGGGTAACTTCTATCCACTGCCTGCCTCCTTCCATATGGAATTATGCTGAAGAAGGCAAATCTCCTTTGTATAGATTAGCCTTTCAAAATCTATCCAGGCTTAAATTCCCTAGTTCCTTATTTTAAAAATAATCATGTTTTCCTTTGGTGATCCATACTGCAAGGGACGCTGAGATGCAAAACAAGGTAACATGACAAAAGCAGAACTCTACTTCCTCTCATTGACACTGACCAACCGGAAGTAAACACCTAAAGGTGACTCTGAAAACTGATTAAAATTTATAAATTCCATTATGTTATAAGTTCATAACTCATCCCAGGAAGCTGCTTTTTTCTTCTTGGGTAAATATGGACCCAATAGTTGTTTGGTTTCTTTCTGCTCCAGAACCACTTTTACAATGGACAGGCTGGTACAGTTAAGTTACAGGGCTGCTCATCGAAACCTGAAAAGTTAAACTGCAACCACCTTCAGACAGTAAATGCAAAATAATCATATGTAATTCCAACACATATGGGAGGGGGTCACTGTAGAAGTTCCCAAAACTTTATATAATCAATTATCTTTAACTAAGGGAATATAATTAAAATGGCTGAGACAAAATTAGATTTCGTGCCAAATGTTGAGTTATTTCAGCCTGTTTTATCCCCTACAACAAGTGCTTTGCTGTACAGTTAACTGTGTCCTTAATACATAAGTTGTGGACAAGTGTGCCCTTTAACTTTTGTTCACGTAGCAATTATGCTTAGTCTAAAATCAGACAAGGTCCCCAAGTCATCCTGATGCATGAAGAATGAACAACGAGGAGAATCAGCAATATTAAAATGATGGTTATACTCTAGTAATTGTCATGGGGTTCTGGCTGAATAAAACCGAAGCCAATTTTATTATGTGGAACACCAGAGTTTTCCAAAACAATACAGAAGTGTTTTTTAAAAGGCGATCTGAAGTAAGATTTCCTTTCAGATCTGAATTCAATGTCACTAAGAGTGACAGTATGCCAAGAAATGTTTTTTTAATAATGTGCTTTTTAAAAAAAAATGCATTCTAGGTAGAATCATCTTAGAAAGTTTGCCGGATATAAACTATTTCACTGACAATTTTCACATAAACCCTCAATGAACTTACCCTATGGTACCTGTATCAACCGCTGTGGCTTCTAAGAAGAGTGACTGCCCCAATAGAGGTTAGTATCTATTTACATGCTGCCCCTAATGCAACGGGCTTCCCTGAGGCAGTAACTTAGAGGAGAGTGCTGTGGACCAGATCAATGGGCTGCCAGCGCTGTGCCGGGCCTTTCACCTCTCAGGCTCCATTACATTTGTAAACACAGCCACTTGAAAAAATAGTTAGTTCTCCAAGATGTCGGAGGACGTGGCTGGTTTACCCCGAGAAACTGATCACAAGCGTAACATTCTCATTCATTCCTCAAACGTCCCGTGCACTCTGCCAGGGCTGGCCGCGGTGGCTGAGAACAGAGCAAGGCAGGCTTCCTGCCCTCAAAGAGCCTACGGCCCGCTGAACAGGCAGGTGAACTCCAAGACAGCAATGCAGCTGGCGTGGGCTCTTGCCCCGTGGGACCTTTTTCAAAATCTGCCTAGTAACAAAAATTTCAGGGAACTGTTTCGGTATAAGTCTTCAAGGATCCTAACATATATATTCTGTCTTTTCTGCAAGTCTCCTAGGTGTGGTTTCCAAGTCCTCCACAGTTTTGGGAATCACATTCTGGTGGGCACACGAGCAGGCGCCATGACCGACATCCACCACTTCCAAGCTTGCTTTTGAGAAACTGCAGTGAGAAAAGTGCTGCCTGGCATCTCGCCAACTAAGTCCCCTTTAAGTTGATATCTGAGCCC